ATCAAAAGACATATTGCATTGGGCAAATCTGTTGCAAAAGACCTCTTTCAAGTGCTGAAGAGCAAAGATACCTCCTTGAAGACTAAGATGCACCTAACCCAAGCCATGGTATTTTCAGTTGCCTCATATGCATGTGAGCACTGGACAATGAATAAGGAAGACCAAAGAAGAGGTGATGCTTTTGAGTGGTGGTGTTGGCGAAGAGTGCTGAACATACCATGAACTGCTAAAAGAACTGAAACATCTGTTCTGGACGAAGTGCAGCTGGAATGCTTCTTGAAAGTGAGAATGGCCAGACTTTCTTTGACCTACTTTGGTCATGTGTCAGAAGGGACCATTCTCTGGAGAAGGATGTCATGCTTGGTAAAGTGGAGGTCAACAAAAGAGGGGAAGGCCCTCAACAAGATGGATTGACACGGTGGCTCCAATGATGGGCTCAGGTATAGTAGGGATCTTGAGGCTGCCACAGGACTGGGCAGTGTTTCATTCTGTTGTACATGAGCTCACTATGAATTGGAAACAACTTGATGGTACATAACGACTTCAACAACAGGTGCTATAGAAATATATATTTTAAAAAATCAATTAATCTCTCCCTATCCACAAAGAGTTTACAATCTAATTGAAAGATATAACAAAAAAGGACAAAGAATGAAAGCATGCAAGTAATTGTATAATATAAGCAAGTACTGTGTCTGAGAACCAAGGCTGGTAAAGATAAGTAAGTATCAACTGGCAGAAACTACCATGAAATAAATGGATAATTAAAGTAGTATTAACTCTATGCGTTATTCCCTTCTTGTTCATCAGTTTTTTGTTTTTAATTCTATAAAAGCACAACCTGTTCTTAATAACATAAGGTTAGATTTAGTATTTATCTATTTAAAAGTTTAAATGCACAGGTTTTAAAAAAAACTGCATAATATCATTATCAACAATTACACAGAGGAAATTAAAAAAAAAAAAAAAAAAGCAGTAGCCATCTGTTGATTATGGCTTACACTGACCTCATGTGTATCAGAGTGCTCCATAGGGTTTTCACCGGCTGATTTTTCAGAATTAAATCACCAGGCCTTTCTTCTAAGGCATCTATAAGTGGAATTGAACTGCTACTAGTCTTTCACTTAGTGGCTGATTACATTAACCACTTACATGACCCAGAGACTCCACATATGAGAACATATCAGACTTTGAATACCTCCTAGGAAAAATATTAATTAAATTTAAGAATTTTAAATTTAAAAATTAAGAATTTTAATTAAATTTTTGTTGTGCAAGATACCCACACTACAAACGATCCACCATAGGCCCCTTACAATTCTATATGATTTTGAGGACTGATTTTTCTTTCTGTTGGGATTTTTATTGGGATAGTATTAACATCATAACAATGTTAAGCCTTCCATCCATGAACATGGAATGCCTTTCCCCTATAAATATTCTTTATCTTTATTTAATGATACACACTTAAGTTACTTGAAAACAGTTTGGTCCTTTTGAATCTTGTTTTTAAAATTTGATAGGCAGGCCTGGAACAGTTAACTCCTTCTACTGAAGAAATGTAGTCCTGGTGGCACAACATTTAAGTGCCCCGCTGCTAACCAAAAGGTTGGTGCTTTAAACCTCCCCGCAGCTCCCTGGGAGAAAGTCCTAGCCATGTGCTCCTGTAAAGATTACAGCCTAAAAAGCCTTATGGGGCAGTTCTTCTGTGTCACATGTGGATCCACTATGAGTTGGAATCAATTCATCAGCAACTAACAGCAATGAAAGCAAAATCCTTCTTATTACTCTACTCAGTGGTGCCCTGTGAATCCGGTGGTTTTCCATCCTGGCTGGTAGAGACAGGCACTATTCCCAGTCCATGGGGGTACACTGTCAACTGTCATCCTTAGGAGTGTTTCTTTCCCTGACCTCAGGTAGGTTTCTCACACATATGTACTGATTATTCCTCAGTTGAATACCCAAGAGGTCTTTCTGCAGATCTCTAATTCTTTCTCTGTGTGGCTCCCCTCCTCTCCAGTATTCTTTCTTGGACCCTGTAGCCACTTTGGTCTCCCTGGTCTTTCAGGTCTTTCCTTCTCCTCTCAGGGAGTCTGCCAGTCTCCATCTGGGTTCCCTTTCTCTGTGCTGTAGCCTAGAAATGATCTTAAGGCAGTAAACTGAGGCAATCATATGGCTCACCTCATTTGTTTTCCATCTTTGTTGCCTGACACCCAGTTTCTTTCAAACTGTTGTTTCATGTATTGTGCCTATTTTTGGTTATTTTATGCAGGAGGATAAATGTAGTCCCTGCTACTCCATCTTACCAAAAGCCTAAGTCTGATGTATAGGATTTCAATTTGGATTAGAAAAAAATTCTAAGAGTAGCATGTGAAAGCTATATCAAACATTAATAGGGAGCTGGTTAGAAAAATTATGATATATTTGTATAATAGAATATTATGCACCTATTCCAAAAAATGGGAGCTCTGGTAGCATAGTGACAAAGGCACTTGACTGCTAACCAGAAGGCTGGCGGTTCAAACCCACGAGCCACTCCTTGGAAGGAAGATGGGGCAATCTACTTCCATAGTAATACTGCCTCGGAAACCCAAGGAGGGGTCCAAGGATGAGTTAGATCCAATTCGACGGCACATAACAACAACATTCCAAACAATGAAGTAGAGTTAGATATTTTGCCAAGGAAAGTTGTCTAAGTTATAGTGGTAGTGAAAATCATAAATTCTTCCTTTTATTCATTCCAGAAATAATTACTGAGACCCTATTTTATAGCAACCCCCATGTTAGGCATTTGGGATCTAATAATAAGCAAGATTGACATTACTCTTCTTTAAGTGAAGTATATTGGTTTAAATTTTAGTGTGTGGGTAGGGAGGAGACTAGAAATAAAAAGACAAACAGATTGTCATAAATAATGTAAATTCTGTAAAGGAAATATTATATAGAATGATAAGATTATTGGGAGGGGACCCTTACTTTAGATAGTAGATCAGAGAAAACTTCTCCAAGGAAATGACACTAATTCTGAGACATGAAGGATAAAGAGCAAATCAGCAAAACAGTATCCCAGGCAGAAAGAACACGTGAAGAGGTCCTGAGAAGGAAAGAATTTAGCATGTTTGAGAAGCTGAAAGAAGAATGAAGGAACAAGGTTAGCCAGGACAACAGTGGTACAGAGGTTGTAAAGGTTTTCAGTAAGCACATCATAAGGAGTATTGTAGGCCTTGGTTAAGAAGTTAGATTTTATTCTAAGTTGCAGAAAAGTGAGTAGTAGTGTTCTCTATTAGGTAATAAGGAGGTCTGGTGGTGCAGTGGTTGAGCTGCTAACCAGAAGGTCAGCAGTTCTAACCCATCAGCTGCTCCACAGGAAAAAGATACGGTCATCTCCTTCTATAAAGATTTACTTCCTTGGAAACTATATGGACCAGTTCTGCTCTGTCATAGAGGGTTGCTATGAGTCTGAATCAAGTCAATGGCAAAGGGGTACAGAGATTTATTTAAGAGTTCAAAATGTGATATATACATATACACATGCATAAAAAAAAAATTCTGGAAGGATATATAGATAAGGTTAACCACAGTTACCTCTGAAGAATAAAAATGGGAACTGAGGACATAGCTTACTTTATATCCTTCCCTACTGAATATTTTATCATGAGTATGTATTTTCAAATACATATATTACATAAAGTAATACATATTTTTTAAAATCGCTATTATAAATTATTTTTTGAAACAATGAACAAAAATGTGAACCAAGAGTTCACAAAGGAGAACTACTAATAAACCTATGAAAAGGTTCTCAGCCATACTAGTAATCAAAAAAATGCATTATTTATATTTTTATCTCTTAGATATTGGCAATGAAAAAATATTGATAGTATCCAGTTTGTTGAGGGTGCAGGCTAACAGTACCCTCATGTCATTCTGGTTCATGTGTGCGTATTAAGACTTTCTAGAAAGTAGCTTAACAGTGTATTTCAAAATCTGAAAAGTACCTATCTTAGGAATCAGTAAGTTTATTTCTAGAAATTTATCCTAAAGAAGTAAATCAGAAGAAGTCCAAACATGCAAATACAAGGAAATTTGTCATCAAAAGCATTGATTATAATAGTGAATAATTAGACACTACTAATGTCCATCAATAGTGCCTAAGGCACTTGACTGCTAACCAGAAGGCTGGCGGTTCAAACCCACCAGCCACTCCTCGGAAGGAAGGTTGGGCAATCCTACTTCTGTAGTGATACTGCCTCGGAAACCCAAGGAGGGGTCACTATGAGTCGGGGCCGACTCGACGGCAAATAACAACAACAACAACAATGTCCATCAATAGGAGCTCTGGTAGCGTAGTGCCTAAGGCATTTGACTGCTAACCAGAAGGCTGGCAGTTCAAACCCACCAGCCCCTCCTCAGAAGAAAGGTTGGGCAATCTACTTCCGTAGTGATACTGCCTCAGAAACCCAAGGAGGAGTCGTTATGAGTCGGATCTGACTCAATGGCCGTGAGTTGGGGTTTTATTGGTTTTTAATGTCCATCAGTAGAAGGTTGAACTTTTAAATTTGATGTATTCCATTAAATACTATGTAAACATTAAAATTTACAATGCATTTATTGACACATAAAAACCTCCATTAAGTATTATTCATTAAAACATGTGGGATAGAATAATGTGTGTAAAATATTCCTTTTCTTTTAAAATTATTTAGGTTTAAGTCTGTATGTGTGTGCATAGAGAACTCCTGTGAGGATTTATACAAAAATATTAATGGTAATTTTTGCTGTGTAGCAGGGATTTGGATACTTCTTATATTTTTCATACTTTAATTTTTTGTAATGAATATAGATTAATTTTCCCAAGATAAAAAAATATAATATGTAAAAAAGAAAAAATGGAATTTCAGGTAATCTGGAAAAGTTCATTAACATCTTTATGTGTAATTTGATAGCAATAAAATATAATCCTGGCTTGAAATACTTCATACTACTTTTCAATTTTGTAGGACTAGAAGAAATTGCAAAAGAAAGAGAAAAACTAAAAAAGGCAGAAAGTATCCAGATCAAAGAAGAAGTGTTTGAGACACCTGAGGACACTTTAAATTGTTTAAATACAGATCACTGTGAACAAAAGGAAGATTTTAAAGAAAAAGATAACACAAATCTATTTCTTCAAAAACCTGGCTCTTTTTCCAAATTAAGCAAGCTTTTAGAAGTAGCTAAGATGCCTCCTGAGTCAGATTCTATGACCCCTAAACCAAATGGTAGTGCAAATGGGTGCACATTGTCTTATCAAAATAGTGGAAAACCTTCACTGAGCAGCCTTCAATCAACAGCAACACAAAGCAGTGTGGAAAAGACAGACTCTAATAATCTGTTCAGTACTGGTCCAGGGAAGTTCTATAGTCCTCTCCCCAATGACCAGTTATTAAAAACACTAACTGAGAAGAACAGACAGTGGTTTAGCCTTTTGCCAAGAACACCTTGTGATGACACTTCACTTACCCATGCCGATATGTCAAGTGCCCCTCAGTCTCAGCCACCACCTAAGTCACCTTCTCCTGCCCCAGCTCCTCTTCTTGGATCATCTTCCACTCAGAATCCTATTGGCCTAAATCCATTTGCTTTATCACCTCTTCAGGTTAGTAATGCTAACTGTGATTCATTTTTACATTGCTTTACTTAATCTTTGACCCCTGAGGACCACCACGATTTTCCTTCAAGGTACAATAAGTTGAATATTTATAATATCATCCCTGTCACAGTTTGAAAACTAAAAAGAGTATTTCTATCACCAAGCTTTATGAGAACTACAGATTTCTAACTTATGTCTAAGGCTAAGGCATTTTCTTCTTTAATGAAACTTGTTGCTGTTACAGAATATCTGAAAGGGAAAATACTTTGATCGAGGAGCAAATAAAAACATGAAATTTAATGTTATTGTTGCTATTGTAGTTAGTTTTCCTTTAATTAGGATAAGTAAAAGAATATTTTTTCAGCATTTGAAAAATAACTTCAGGTTCTAAATATTTTTCCAAACTTCTTAGATAATTCTACTTTTATTATGTTTTGCTTTTTGCAGGTGAAAAGTGGCGTATCTATGATGGGACTTCAATTTTGTGGGTGGCCCACAGGTGTACTCACATCCAATATTCCATTTACATCATCACCTCTGTCTAGTCTGGGATCAGGGTTGGGATTATCAGAAGGAAGTGGTAATTCATTCTTGACTCCCAATGTTGCTTCAAGTAAAAGCGAATCTCCAGTGCCACAGAATGAAAAAGTTTCTTCCACTCAACCTGCAGCTGTTGAAGTAGCAAAACCAGTAGATTTTCTTAGTCCAAAACCTATTCCAGAAGGTAGGTACATTGAGATGGTTCACAGCCACTTACTTTATTTCATGATTATGGATTTCTGTTTTTACTGGATCTTTCATGGTTTATATGTAGTTAATAGGTCTTTATTTGCACTGTGTCATGTTTTTATATTCAAAATGTTTGTAAAAGATCTACATATTTATTTTGACATAGAAATGCAGTTTGGTTGGTGGAGAATTATTGACCCAGAGGACCTAAAAGCTTTGCTCAAAGTGCTACATCTCAGAGGAATAAGAGAAAAAGCATTACAAAAACAAATTCAGAAACACTTGGATTATATTACTCAAGCCTGCATCAAGAATAAAGACGGTATGTATCTAAAGAGATTTCTGCTCTCTTGCTTAGTTTAATTCTTTCAGCTTAAAATATATTTCCTATATCTTAATTCTTAATTTACTACTGATAGGTATTTTTCTTGTTTTACTGAACAAACAGTAACTATTCATATTCCTTACATTGAAACTAATTTCTTACAATTTTTATACCCACACACATAATGTTTTTTTCTAGACATAGTGTTTTGTATTTTTAAAAAATAATATTCCTACTTTTAACAGTAGGCTACCTGCATGTACACACATATGTTTATGTGTGTTTAGTTAGATGTACCTGTTACCCCCAGAATTCACATCCTTGAAAAATCTCTAAGGGGAAAAACTTATTAAAGTGGATTTTAAAAATTAATTTCTTTTCAAACATAGTTGCTATTATTGAAATAAATGAAAATGAAGAAAACCAGGTAACTCGAGATATTGTGGAGAACTGGTCAGTAGAAGAACAAGCGATGGAAATGGATTTGAGTATTCTTCAGCAGGTAGAAGATCTAGAAAGGAGAGTTGCATCAGCAAGTTTGCAAGTGAAGGTAAAATTGACTTGGAATAAAATCTATCTTTAGGATAATGGAAGGTAACTAATATTTATTTCATGCCTACTTTATGCCAGGTACTATGCTAAATATTTTCAATTTTTCTCTCATTTAATCCCCAAAACAGTCTTGAATTAATTTTACTTTTACAGGTAAAGAATGAAGCACAGAATAAGTAACCTGCTCATGGCCATATAGTAAATGGTTAAATGTGGATTCAAACCAAGTCTGTCTGACTCCAGACTCCCGTGTTATTTTTACTAAATCTTACTGCCTCCTTAATGTATTCAAAACTATCATTTCTGGTTTGCAGAATGTTACAGTTTTCTCCATGTGAAATGTAATGCTGTAGAACAAGTCCGATCAAACTCCTACAATAGTGTTTCATAGAGAATCAGGAACTCCCTTATATCTAAGCCATGTTAAATATCAGACTTTTACTCTTTATAGTTTAAATTTGGAGAACAATACAGATATACCCAAATATATGTTATGATACACACAAACACACACCTCACAGACATTTGTAAAGTTGTTTATTGACTAGGCAATGATCAAAATTGGCTTCCAATACACAGACAAAAAGAAAAGCTTTACCTTTGTGCAAGAATTGTTGGTTTTGTGAAGAGGAGGGGTATAATGGTTTTCTCAACTGATAATAAACTGGTATTTCTGAGAATAAATGGATAAATGATAAATAAGTAGAAAGAGAGAGATGCCTGCAGAGATTTAGAAAATTTATTCCCCATTTCATTTGATTTAATAATTCACTTTTTATTTAGAATTTTTAAATTATGACTTAATACTATCCTATCCAGTAATTAAAATTTCATTTCATAGTTAGTATAATGTTGGCACTTGGAAGCGTTGAAGATCTCAAAATATATATATATATATATATATATATATATGTATGTATGTATGTATGTATGTATATAGTTTTTCCAGAGCTAATGAAGTATCTCTTTCTTACCACAAACACAATAACAACTTTGGGGAGGAAAAAAAATTTTTTTAATTATCATTTTCTAAATCTATTGTGCAAACTATATGTATCTTTCTCCCAGTACTATAACAGTATATGCAAACACCTTATTTATCTGGAATTTTCCACAAATGAACTCTTCCACAAGTTAGTTTTCTGGAGAAATGAAAATTATTCCATTTAATGTCATAATTGTTATAGCATGTTTGTTGGATCTCTTAGGTTACACATTCCACTGCCTTCTTAAATTGAGAATTTTGGATGTAATTTATGTAACCATTATGACATAGGATCATCAGTGTGAAGATCAATTATTAGACAATTGATGTGAAGAAATTTAGCCCTTACACTAAATGATCTTCACGTTAACTTGCTTTTTATTTTAACTTTTTATCATGATATGAGTGAAAGTTTACAGAGCAAATTGGTTTTCCGTGTAATGATTCCTACACATTTTGTTTTCTTACATTGATTAAAATCCCCACAGTGTAACAGCACTCTTCTCACTTCCTTCCTGTGTTTCCTATTCCCATTCGTCCTTCTTTCTATCCTTTCCTACCCTCTGAGCTTTCTCCTTGAGTGAATGCTGCCCTTTTGATTTCATATGATTGACTGTTCTAAGGAGTGCATATCTCCCTGGTGTTATTGTTCACCTTTGGCTAAAAGTTGAGCCATGGAGTTAAGTTCAGTTCTAGGCTTCAAGGGTAACTAAGGGCCATAGTTCTGAGGGTTCCAGTAGTATCCATCACACCAGTAAATGTAGTCTTTTAAGATTTTTGAGTTTCGTTCCACATTTTTTTCCCCACTCTACTGAGGAATTTCTATCGTGATCCCTTTCAGAGCAGTCACTAGTGGTAGCCAGGCACCATCTTGTTCTTCTCCTCTCAGGGCCAAGGAGGCTGAGGTTCACATGGTCTATTAGTCTTTCAGACTGTTTGTTTTTCCATGCACCTTTGATTTTCTTCATTCTTCTGTGCTTCAGATGGGGAAAGACCAATAGTTGCACCTCAGATGGCCACTTGCTAGTTTGCTAGACCCCAGTCACTACTCAGAACAGTAGGATGTATAACATTGCACTTGTGAACAATATAATGTCAGTTGACTTAGCTATCCCCTAAGACTGTGGTCCTAAGACCCCAGCTCAGTGACTCATTGCCTCAAAGCATTTGGTTATGGCTAAGAAATTTTCATAACTTTGCCCCATGTTGTTAGGTGCTGTCAAGTCAGCTCCAACTCATAGCAACCCTATGTACAACAACAAAACACTGCCTTGTCCTACACCATCCTCACAATCCCTGCTATGCTTGAGCCCATTGTCTATTAGTTTGTCATACTGTGATGGCTTGCAAGTTGCTGTGAGGCTGGAGGCTACACCACTGATATATCAAATACCCACAGGGTTACCCATGGTGTACAGGTTTCAGTGGAGTTTCCAGACAAAGACAGACTGGGAAGAAGGAAGCCATCCACTTCCGAAAAAAATTGGCCACTAAAAACCATATGAATAGCAGTGAAATACTGTCTGATATATTACTCTACTATCTACAAGGATATAATTACAGCACATATAAGTATATATGTAGAAATATTGTATGCCAAACCTGTATGGTCATGGGTGTAGTCCTGTTAACCAACTCGTACCTGTTTAGCTTGCCTGTTTGCCTGTGTATCCACTCATAGATTATTGTTTGTTATTACTGATATTGCAGGATGGTATTTGTAATAGTATTTACAATTGTCGTTTGTAACTCTTGTGCATCTCTCCATGTCATCCTTTGCCTTAGTGTTATTGTGCTGATAAGTCCCTTATATTGCCTTTCCCTTCACCCAAATTAGGAGCTCTGGTAGCATAGTGGCTAAGACACTTGCCTGCTAACCAGACGGCTGGCGGTTCAAACCCACCAGCCACTCCTCGGAAGGAAGGTTGGGCAATCCTACTTCCGTAGTGATACTGCCTCGGAAACCCAAGGAGGGGTCGCTATGAGTCGGGGCCGACTCGACGGCACATAACAACAACAACAACATCACCCAAATTAATATATGTATATTATCTAGCTAGTGATTTCCTCTCACCTCCTTTGCTCTCCTTGATAAACATCAGAGAATGTTGCTTTCTATGTGTAAACCTTTCCTTGACTTTTTATGATAGTGAACTCATACAATATTTGTCCTTCTGGAGCTCTGGTGGCATAGCACCTAAGGCATTTGACTGCTAACCAGAGGGCTGGTGGTTCAAACCCACCAGCCACTTCTCAGAAGGAGGATTAGGCAATCTACTTCCATAGTGATACTGCCTTGGAAACCCAAGGAGGGGTCGCTATGAGTCGTATCTGATTCAATGGCAATAAGTTTGGTTTTTTGGTTTGACGACTGACTTGTTTTACTCAGCATAATTCATCTACATCATGAAGTATTTAACAGATTCTTCATTATTATTTAATGGTGCATGGTATTAGTATGTGTATGTATCACATACTAGTATGTGTACTTTCTTTATCCATTCATCCATTGGTGGGTACTGAGGTTGTTTCCACCTCTTCGCTATTGTGAATAACGATGCATTTAACATGGGTGGGCATATATCTATTTGTGTCCTGGTCCTTATCTCTCTATGATATATACTGTGGTAGTTAAGGTTATGTGTCAACTTAGCTGGGCTGTGGTTTTGAGTGGCTTGGCAGCTGGATATAGTTATTCCCCAATGATGAGATTATAATCACCTCCATGGTGGAATCTGCTTGTAAGCAGCTATGTAGTTGAAGGGGAGTTTCCTTCTTGATGTGGCAATCTACTTGTGTAGAAATACCACCTCAGAAAATCAAGGAGAGGTTACTATGAGTCGGAAACAACTTGACAGCCGTGAGTTTGGTTTTTTTGGTTCTTTTTCTGTTGGTTAAACTGGCCAGTGGATTGTTAGTTTTATTAATCTTTTCAAAGAACCAACTTCTAGTGTCCTTTATTCTCTCTGTTGTTTTACTCTTTTCTGTTTCATTTATTTCTCCTCTCATCTTTATTATTTCCTTTCTTCTGGAGACTGTAGGCTTTTTTTCTGGTCTTTCTCTAGTTGTTGGAGTTGTTGAGTTAAGGTGTTGGCTTTGGTTCTTCCTTCTTTGTTTTTGCATTTATTGCTATAAATTGACCTCTGAGAACTGCTTTTGCTATGTCCTAAAGATTTGGGTATGTTGTGTTTTTCTTCTCATTTGATTCTAGGAATTTTTTTATTACTTCTGTTCCCCATCATTTTTAAGTAGGGTGTTATTCTGTTTCCATGTATTTTATTTTTTTTCCCCCTAATCTTCCTATTATTGATTTCTGATGTTATAGTATTGTGATCTGAGAAGATGCTTTGCATTATTTCAGTGTTTTTAAATTTACTGAGGCTTGCTTTGTGGCCTAGCACCTGGTCTATTCTGGAGAATGATCCGTCTGCACTGGAAAAGAATGTGTATTGTCGGGTCCGACTCAACGGCACATAACAACAATAACAGATGTGTCTACTGTAATCTTATCCTTTTTTTTTTTCTTGTTTTGTAAGTTGACTTGCAAAAAGTAAGATGTACTATGTTTACAGAGTTCCCTTGATTTAGCAATTTAGTATCCTTTTAAAAATACAAGAATGAAGTTCATTTGACATGACTTATACCTAATACATTTATTCATAATGCTCATAATTCATCCTTTCTAGATATTCTGAATATTCCAGTGAGTTAAAGGTAAAGAACTGATCCCAAGACATAAGCGTATAAAATAACTGTCTTTAGAGAAAGTTGACATAAAGGATAATGTTCATTTTGTTTTTCATTTAATAAGCATTTGCTGAGTACCCATCAGATAGTGGACATAAAATTGAATAAAGTGGCTTTCCTGCCATTAGAAAGCTTGCCATATAGTAGAGGAAGTAAACCATGTACAAATATATGGGGAATCTAGTAACTCATCATAGAAAAGTACAGAGTACACATGAATTTAGCTAAAAGATACACTACTTCTGGTGGAAGTTTGGGCAATCAGGGAAGATTTCATGCAGAAGTTGAGATGAAATTTGAGAAGATGAGTAAGCTTTTGACAGTCAGAGGACAGGTATGCCATACTAGGAAGTGGGAAGAGCATGAGCAACTACTGGGATCAGGAAGCTGCAAACACGTGTTTATGAAATGGCAAGCCATATAATTTGACTGCAGGATAAGATACTTGAATGGGAATATGAGAGAGAGGTAGATTGAAATATTTGAATGCCACAGTAAAGAGTTTTAACTTTGTTAAAGAGTGGAGAATCTTGGAAGGTTTTGAGCTGCAGGATCAATAAAAACAAGTTGAGTTATTCATTCATTCAATTAACATATGTACTGAGTGCCTACTATTTGCCTTTCCCATGCTGGAGATAAAATGAGTAAAAGCAGACATGGCTTTGCCCTCATGGGATTTAGAAATAGAAAGATGTTAATCAAATAATAACATGAGTATAAAGTTGCAACCATGACAAAGCGATGGAGCATTATATTCTTTGAGAACCTATAATCCAAGGTGGTCAGGGAAGGATTAATTCCCTGAGGAAGTAACTTTTAATCTGAGAGCTGCAGGATGAGTGGCATTAACTAGGTAAAGAAGAGCACAGAAAACTATAAAGCAAAGGTAACAGCTTATGCAAGACTCCTGTGGTCAAAGGAAAATGGTGAGTAAAAGAACCTACACAGAAGAGTAGTGGAAGGAACAGAAATGTCAAGGAAGAACAAGAGTCAGAGGCTACCAAAGATTTCCATTTCAGTGATCCCATGAAATGAATAATCATCTCAGTCAAAAATCCTTTGGAGTACTTTGTTGGTTTTTATTATACTTTTCATAATATCAAAAGCTGTTAAATTTTCCTTGTCAAGTTTTTCTTACAGCTGTTTTAATTTTTTTTTCCTTGTTTCTGCCGAGCATTAGGAAACACAAAGTAAAAGCTTTTAGTAAAGCTCCTTGAGATCTGCTGATATTGTTACTGTATTTTAAGTAAAGGTAATTCACCCACCAGTCACTTTGAGAGAAAACAGTAATAACACTATTCTCTTGATATATAGGGTTGGATGTGTCCAGAGCCTGCATCAGAAAGGGAGGACTTGGTATATTTTGAACATAAGTCATTAACTAAATTGTGCAAGGAACATGATGGAGAATTTACTGGCGAAGAAGAAAGCAGTGCACATGCACTAGAACGGAAGAGTGACAACCCCCTAGATATAGCTGTAACCAGGCTGGCTGATTTGGAGCGGAACATTGAAAGAAGGTATCTGAAGAGCCCCTTAAGTACCACCATTCAGATCAAACTGGATAATGTGGGCACAGTTACTGTCCCTGCTCCTGCACCATCCGTTAGTGGTGATGGTGACGGGTAGGTTATTGAGATTAACTTGAAAAATCATTGTGCTTCTTTGCTAATTGGAGCCTATCTTCTATTGCCTGTTATCTATGTATCTTCTTGTATGTCTGTGATCCATATGGATCATGCTATTGCATGATGCTTTGTAAAAACATTTTTTTTTTTGTTCTGTGCGTTGATAATCCTTGCAAAGTGATCCTACCTGGTTATGACTAAGCTTTGAGGCACGTAGCCACAAATTTAGTTGCTTAAACCTTATACTTATTGGCTGTTACATGTTTTTGTCATTGCTTGGCTTTCAGTGTGATGATTGTTTCACATTCAGTAACCATAAATGTAGACATGACCTACTTAATGTTTCTATATTTCAATGCAGAATTGAAGAGGATATTGCTCCAGGGCTCAGGGTCTGGAGAAGGGCATTATCAGAAGCTCGCAGTGCTGCACAGGTAGCTCTGTGCATTCAGCAGTTACAGAAATCAATAGCATGGGAAAAATCAATTATGAAAGTTGTAAGTGTTTTTATTTAAGAAATACTATAACTAATTTACTTTATCCTTTTTTCCCCCCAAACTCCAGATCTTTCTCAATTATCTATTACTTATTGTCAAAATAATACATATTATATTTGACAGTTTGCTTAATTTTTACATATTGTATATTTGGACGTTTTCTTCCTTACACTGAGCTTTTTGAGATACCAAATATGTTATCTTTTATTATTTTAAATCTTATATCTGCCTCCTTTGAATATGGCTTATGACTCTTACTGAAGTTGTTTCTCTACCTCCCGTCAGTATATTACTTGTTAATCTACTATTTTTAATATTTTTAAGGCCTTTCTACCTATAACATTCCAGTTGATGATATCACCTAATACACTCACTGCATTCCTAAAATGTCTTATGTTTTTACCAATTTTCATTTTTAAATGCCAAGAAATACATAGATTAATAAATACAAACTAGAGAGCTCTGCCAGCTTGTGCATTTATATCTTTTATTGGCTTCAGGTATTGTTAACACGAAGACTAGACATTTCAGTCTTTCCTGTGATAATTAAAACTGGGTTTTCACTTTCTTTGTTATAAGTTCAATCAGTTATTACCAATAGTAAGCCTCTACTTTGTGCCAGGCACCTAAATAATGTATCTTTGAAAAAAGCTGTATTTCATATATTTTCCAGAGAAGTGTTTATTAAATCATGCATGAGTTGTCCCTCTTACCTCTTTTAGAGCATATATTATATATATGATATAAATCATATAATAAATTATATTATATTATTACATGGGAACTATGGTAGCATAGTGCCTAGGGCACTTGACTGCTAACAAGAAGGCTGGTGGTTCAAATCCACCAGCCTTTCCTCGGAAGGAAGGTTGGGCAATCTACTTCTGTAGTGATATTGCCTTGGAAACCCAAGAAGGGGTCACTATAAGTCGGATCTGACTCGACAGCACATAACAACAACAACATATTATTATTATTATTATATGTGGACTTATATGAATCACCTTTTAACTATAGAATTCAGACTAGCTTTAAAATCAGGCATTTCAAGAATAGCTTGAGTTAAATTCCTTTCCTTGAAATAACTGTTCCCTGAAGAAAAGAAGTGATCCTTAAAACATTTTCCTCTTAATTTTTACCTCTATGTTTATACTATTTAAGGTCTGATTCATTCTGTACAAGTAAATATGGTTTCTTCTGTGTTTCATTTACTTCTTCCTAAAATTTCCACAGAATAATGACTTTATAATTTTCATTGTATGCTCAAATTTAGGTTTTTCCAAATGCATTTTAGAATTTACCATAAATTTTAAGGCATTGTCAGTTCATTTGATAGCATTTTTACTAGATAAGATTTCTACAGTTTGCCCTTTTAAAAATCATAATTGAAATTAGTTTAAAAGTTATCTTGAACACCTTTGGTGAAATCTAGGGTGTAATCATCAAAAAAAGATTGAGTTCCTACATCAAAATGAAACAGTCATCACAAGTTCACAAGTTGGTCAGTTTTGCTATAAACCTGTACACAGAAACCCAAAACATGGACTGGAATCTGCATTTGTATCAGTATGCTTATTTTCTGTAATCTAAAGCTTTTTTCAATTTTCACAAATTCATTAACTATTTCCATATTATTAATACATCTCCCACAATCTTTTTTAAAAGTTTAATAACACATTATTTGCTATGAAACATCCCTAAGAAGAGACAGAGGTTTGTACTCTAAAATTAATGAGCCTTTTGTAACCTTTAATTAGAAATTTAGAAGTGTCTATAATGATCTATATATAATGTCTAAATGTTAAAGTGCTCAATATCTTTAAAAACATCCCCTTAGTCAGACAGCAAGTTTACCAGGAAAGAGGAAGATGTCATAATTTGTCTTCAGATAATTCTCTACCTAGAGTATGCTTTATATTATTGTTAATTTTAAGTACTAGGCAACATTCACTAATTTTTATGTATAGTTGCAAGGACTATTAATGTAGTTGCTTTAACATACTGTGTTATTCCTGTGATTTTCAAGAGTTATGAGTTTGATGTTTGTCATTCTTTCTTAATATTAGAAAACAGTTGTATTTTTTAATAATAACCATGAAAGTTAAGACTGTGGTATTTTAGTTGTCTATTGTAGAAAACAGTGAGAATTTATTTATGACATGAATCTTATTTTTAAATTATTATTTGCTTTATAATTATCACTTTAGAGGCTTAAATATAACCTTCCAAATGTTATTTCTCAGTCAGTAACTGTACAGGGAACATTTTGAAGTTATACTCAATTTTGGAGGTATAATTAATTTAACAACATATTAAGGAATTCAGTGTGATAATAGAAAGGGTCATAAGATAGATACTTTTTGTTGGAATGTTAAGCTTGTAGTGCTGTTTTTAATCTTGGTACACATACATGCCAGTTTTAATATTGCTAATATATTAAATTGTTGTTGTTGTTGTTGTTATGTGCCGTCAAGTCAGCCCTGACTCATATATTAAATATATTTTCTAAATATTTGTTAAGTTGAATAATATGTATTTGGCATTTTGATAGGATTCTTAAAGTATCCCTAGTGTACCTACTTTGAAAACCCTGTGGAGCAGTTTTCCTCGGCATCCATGTGGTCACCTAAGTCAGAATCAGCTAGACAGCAACCAGCAGCACACTGAGTTAGACAAGACTTTTTTAAACTTTCCCAGATTAAGATTTAATGTTGTATTGAAAAGTAAACATTAAGTTTAAACAGTTAAGCTATCTTGTTATTAAGATCATATAGTTACATAAATTTAAATTGGTATAAATGATTGCTAGTTTAAATGTATTTATTATTTTAAATATTGGTTACAGGATGTGTTCTATTGTGACTGAATATTTAAATTAAATATCAGAAAAGAATGTTAGTTCTTATCCTTTTTAACACATCTTGAAAGTTTGTACTTGTCTCTCTCTCCTTCCTTCTTTCTCTTTGTAAAATTTGTCATAAAAAATATGCATTAAAAAAAAATCTTTGCAGACTGGGTCACTCTGAGTCAGAATTAACTTGACAGCAGTGGCTTTTTCTTGGTTTTTACTTCAGCTTTATGGTACTAAAACTTTTCAATGGAGGAGAAATAATTTTATTTTTAGTTCTAGAAAATAAATCATGACCTCTTAAATTGTTTTTGTTAATTTTTTGTATCTGTTTGTTTCCTTAAAAATTATTTTATGTACTTGTGATATATATTTGATTGAGGTTGATTTGATTTTCAAAGTTTCCTGATACAAATACTTTAAAACCATTTTTAAAACAAAAAATAGATGAATAATTTTGTCAAAATCTAGGGGAATATTTTATTATATATAATTCTGATCCAAATACTAGAGACTCACGTTTGATATTTAATTATAACTATAACCCTTATTCCTTTCTCAGGATATCGTGAGGATGCTAAAATAATCAAAAGATAAAACACATTTTTTTAAAAAACCACCACATATTGAAGCTGTTCATTGCTTTATGTGCTCTAATGTCATGTTAATTATTTCATATGTTAATGTGTACTTGCTTCTGAAGTGTGTGCAGGCATTCAACCTCTAGCTTTGTTCTTTGCGGTGTACCTGAAATGTGCATTGACCCCAAGAGAACTGCTCACCCCGTCATGTGGTCCATATCTGTGTAATGAGAGATACATAGATGTGTATGGCTACTGTATATTTGTTAGCAAAGCGGAATGTTCATTACTAATACAAATTAGGAATTCTGGTTTGTTTAACATCCCAATAACTATTATTCAAATCAGAGGGTTAACTTCAAATGGTTTTTCATGTATTGTAGTACTGCCAGATCTGTCGAAAGGGAGATAATGAAGAGCTGCTGCTCCTCTGTGATGGCTGTGACAAAGGCTGTCACACATATTGCCATAGACCCAAGATTACTACTATCCCAGACGGAGACTGGTTTTGTCCAGCTTGCATTGCTAAGGTAAGACTGATCTAAAACTAAGTTTTTTAAATCCAGATCAAAATGCAGAGCTTTATGGGTTGTTTTAAAAATATATACGAATTTACCTTTTAAAATATACAACTCAGTGGTGTTAAGAAATTCACAAAGTTGTGCAACCGTGACCATTTCCTAACTCCAGAACATTTTCATCACCCCCAAAAGACCCCTCACACCCATTAGCAGTTATTTCTGATTTTGTCCTTCCCTCAGCCCTTGACAATCACTAATCTGCTTTCTGTCTCTATGGATTTGCCTCTTCTGGACATTTCATATAAATGGAATCATATACTAAGCCTTTTGTAACTGGCTTCTTTTATTTAGCATAATGTTTTCAAGGTCCATTCATGTTGTAGCATGTAATAGTACTCCATTCCTTTTTGTGGCTAAATAAATTCTGTTATATGGATATACCACATTTTATTTATTTTTCTATTCATCAATTGATGGAAATTTAGTTCTTTGGGTTTTTTTTTTTTTTTTGGTTTTTTTTTTCACTTTTTGGTTATGAAAATGCTATGAACATCCTTTACAAGTTTTTATATAAACATATGTTTTTAGTTCTCTTGAAGATATACCTAAGCATGCAGTTCTGGGTCATATGGTAAACATATGTATTTTAAGTCATTTTCCCATCACATTTAAAATAGAACCCTGTGAACTCATATCTTTAATTAAGAGAGAAGCAGTACGATAAAATGGAAATAAATGGGTTTTGGAATTAGAAAATAAGGAGTAAGAAGTATGAAAGGATCTCCCATGTTTATTCCCTTGACCTGGTGGTTTTAGTGCCTAAGACGTTTGACTGCTAACCAGAAGGCTGGCGGTTCAAACCCACCAGCCACTTCTCAGAAGGAAGGTAGGGCAATCCACTTCCTTAGTGATACCATCTCGGAAACCCAAGGAGGGGTCGCTATGAGTCGGGTGCAACTCAACGGCAGTGTGTTAGATTTTTTTGTTTTTTAATCATTACCAGTAGCTACAATCTCTCCATAGACTCAGTTGTAAACATATATTCTGTCTATTGTTGCGCATGGGGTCGCTATGAGTCCCGACTCGACGGCACCTAACACTACATTGACTATTTTCTTTCCAACTTACTTCCTCTCCATATCCAACAGTCTTTTGACCCCACCGCGGGCTTTTGTTTACTTAAGACCTTTTCACTGCTTTCCTTTCCCTACATGTCTCCTCTTTCCACCTCACCTTCCTTATGTCAATATCCCAGTATCATAATCATTGCCTCTACCTTTTTCTCTTTTACCTTTCCCTTATGTGGTAAACAGGAGCTCTGGTAGCATAGTGCCTAAAACACTTGACTGCTAACCAGAAGGCTGGCAGTTCAAACCCACTAGCCACTCCGTGGAAGGAAGATGGGGGCGATCTACTTCTGCAGTGATACTTGCCTCAGAAACCCAAGGAGAGGTTGATATGAGTCGGGTCCAACTCGACGGCACATAACAACAACAACATGTGGTAAAAATCATAATTCTGGTCTATCTCCTCTTTCTCTTTTCCAGCACCCACACCTGTGTATCTTAATGTGGCTAGAGAAGATACCCAGCCCTGACTAGTGCCATCTAAATTCAAGATCACTAACCCCAACTGGGCCTGCTTATCATCCCTTCTCTATAGTCCCACACTCCAGCTCTGCCTCCCTACCCTCATTCTTACCTGATGGCTTCATTCCCACTTCTGTGAGAAAATGAAAGCCATCAGAAGAAAATATCACAAGCTCACACAGCCACATCATCTTGCGTCTTTCCTGCATCTGAGTTCACATCCTCTCCCTGCTCTGTTGCCATGAACTGCTCCTGCTCTTAACTAAGCCAGTTCCTCCACTTGTGCCTCAGATCTCTTCCCTACTCACCCTTTCAGGGACATTATTCCAACAATTCTTCCTTCTCCTGCGTCATCAATTTCTCCTCCACTGGGTTCTTCTCATCAGTCTGACATGCTAGTATTTCTCCCATCTTTAGTAGAAATTAAAAAAAAAAAAACTTTCAGGCCTCACTTTTCCCTTGATCTACTTCCCTCATTTTTTTCCTTCCCTTTACATAAAAACTCATTGAAAGCTTCTGTTCTTTTTCTCTCCAATTTCTCTCTTCCCATTTGCTGCTTTTTTAAAAAAATTTTTTATTGTGATTTGAGTGAAAGTTTACAGAGCAGATTTATTTTCCGTACAACGCTTCATACACATTTTGTCTCATGACATTGACTACACTTCCCCACAATGTAACAGCTCTCTTCCCACTTCCTCT